TCCCACTGCTAGGGAGCTGGGATTTGAACCCCGGTCGTCTGACTCCCCCACTCCACTGTTCTCCAGGAACCCTGCCTGCTTTTTGGAGCAGCGAGTGCTGACAGACGTGACCAGCCCTGGGGAGCAGTGAGGGCCAGCAGGTCATGGGAGGAAGGCCTGAGAAGCGAGGTGCACACACTAGGGGAGGCTGGCTTCAGAAGAGGACTTTGCCTGTCTGGTGACAGGCCTGGCGTCTGAAGATTCAGATGTTCCTGAAGAGTTAGAATCTGCTGCCATGATCTTCTCTGCTCTCTTAACAATTCCTGTCGTCCTGTGATGTGAAGATCTTAGTTCCCATTTGAAGCTTGGACCTGGAGACACGGATGTATATACACCCAGAGGTGCTTTATCTACCTTGGGCCCAGATGAAGTTGTTTTTGTTCTTAAACAGCTGCCGCTGGCATTTGACTAGTCTGGTTTATAGAATGTAGCAGGTCATGGATTGAAAATTTCAGGTCCTGCAAATATTTTCCTGGAGAACCGTTTGCTGAATACGACATTAGAGATGGAGAGTCGTCATTCTGGACAGTTTCTTCGTGGCATTGTGACCTGAAGAAGGTCTCCACTCTCAGCCTTCTATTTTGATGATGATGTGTGCTCCATCTCCTTTAGTTCAGCTGCTGTCATGTCCTTGGTCGGATGGATGTGCAGTCATGGGGAAGACTAACAGGTCTTTTTTGGTGAAGTAGGCTTGTCAGCAAATCAAATTGATAACATTTGACGTGGGCTTTCATTCTCTTGATTTTCAGCCTGAGTTGCTTAATAAATATGGATGTTCTGTCCAGGGGATTTCCACTCATTATGGGGATGATGTTGCATTGTTGGTTGTGATCGGTTTACAGCCTTCCCTCTTATCTCTGGGCTTGCTATCAGGTGGAATGTTTCTAAATTCCAGCATGAAAAGCTGTCATGTTAGCTGCTCAGCCTTCAGAGCCGACAATGCTTTGTCAGAGTGCTTTGGGACCTCTACTGTGTGATCAAATGCCGGACCCCGGCTGTCTTGTGGCCAGGGGAATTGGGTAGAGGATTTCTACCTTGCCAACATCCCATTACAGTAATAGCTCTTACAGGAAACTTCAGTGCCCTTTGAATTTGGCTCTGAACGCCACAGGTTAGGATGCCACACCATCGGAAGGGTTGTCATTCTCATTAACAGACAGGTGTGCAGTCAGAACTAAAAAGCAAATGCAGGGAGAACCATCCTTGACCAAGATATTCCGCCTGTGTTACAAATATTAGCGAAAGGACACCTTCTTTCATGACCCATGTAGTTTTATGAGCAATTTTTATATGTCCATAATAATCAAGTCAGCATCGCATTACTTGTCTACTTTGCATTCTTTTGCAAAGATATTAGTTCATTTATGAGGAGCCCTGTTAGCCCCTTTCTTCTACACGATGGGACATCAGGATATAAATTGTTGAAGTTATTTATTTTGAAACATTTCTTCATCCTTTCCACACCTGTATCCAAAGGCAAATTATAGAATGTCAACTACACGTTAAAGGATGGATGGAGCTTCTCTTCTGAGAGGATGTCTGTGAACATTGGACCTCATTTGTAGGCCCAAAGGAACAGTGTAACGCTTGTAGTATAGTATATAGTATACAGTGTAACACTGTATGATGGTATAGGATGTGTACTGTGTAGTATAGTGCATAGTATACAGTGTAACACTGTATGATGGTATAGGATGTGCACTGTGTAGTGTAGTGCGCAGTGTAACACTGTGTGACGGTATAGGATGTGCACTGTGTAGTATAGTGCATAGTATACAGTGTAACACTGTATGATGGTATAGGATGTATACTGTATAGTGTAGTGTGCAGTAAACAGTGTAACACTGTATGATGGTATAGGATGTGTACTGTATAGTATAGTGTGTAGTGCACAGTGTAACACTGTATGATGGTATAGGATGTGCACTGTGTAGTGTAGTGCGCAGTGTAACACTGTGTGACGGTATAGGATGTGCACTGTGTAGTATAGTGCATAGTATACAGTGTAACACTGTATGATGGTATAGGATGTATACTGTATAGTGTAGTGTGCAGTAAACAGTGTAACACTGTATGATGGTATAGGATGTGTACTGTATAGTATAGTGTGTAGTGCTCAGTGTAACACCGTGTGATGGTATAGGATGTGCACTGTGTAGTGTAGTGCGCAGTGTAACACTGTGTGACGGTATAGGATGTGCACTGTGTAGTATAGTGCATAGTATACAGTGTAACACTGTATGATGGTATAGGATGTATACTGTATAGTGTAGTGTGCAGTAAACAGTGTAACACTGTATGATGGTACAGTATATATTCTGTATGGTATAGTGTATAGTATAAAACCTTTGTTCTTCTCTGCAGCATCTTTATTCTTAAACTTTTTTTCCAGTACTCCCATGGTATTAACTTTGGAAGTTCTTTACTCTTTTACCTTTTCCAATTTTTTCCCTATGGATATTTTAACAGCTATGTTTAATTGATTAATATAGGGAACTGTATTAGAGAACAGAACCAGTAGGACATATATGTAGATAGAGATATATGTCTATGTCTGATATATAGATCTCTCTCTATGGAGACAGAGATTGATTAATTTTAAGGAATTGGCTCACATGATCGATTGCGGGCGTTGATAAGTCTGAAATCTGTAATCTGTAGAGCAGGCCCAGCAGGCTAGAGACTTAGGGAGGAGGTGATGTTTCAGTCTTGAGGAGAATTCCTTTTTCTTCAGGAAACATCAGTCTTTGCTTTTAAGGCCTTCAACTGATTGGGTGAGGCCCACTCCCATTGTGGAGAATAATCTGCTTTACCCAAAGTTTACTGATTTAAGTGTTAATCACATCTAAAAAATATCTTCATAGCAACATCTAGACTGGAGTTTGACCAAACAACTGGGCATTGTAGCCTAGCCAAGTTGACGTAAAATTAGCCATTAAATCCATTTTGGCTATGGTAAAGAGTTTGAAAGTTGATAAGAAAGTGGAGATATCATCTCATCTGCAAAGCACACCTATAGGGAAGGTGCTACTAAACTAGAGAATAAGGGTGATCCCTGGACTGTGTGGCCCCAAGTAAAAGGCTGAGTGTCGAGTGACATTCCATTAGCCACATCCAACCTGCAGGATTGTTTATGTTTGACCCATATTGCTGTTTAAAAAATGGATTAATCATGAATAATTAGAAATTGGGGAAAATTGCAACGAGATCTAGATTTCTGACTTTTCTCAGATCTGGCCCTGGGTCCTTGTTCCTACCTGGCAGCGATTGGTTGGCAATGAGAAGCGGTTATGTCATCTCAACACGTTGGCTCCTGGCCGGCTGCTGCTCTTATGCTGCCTAGTGGTTCTTGTTGGTGTTCACGTTTGTGATCCCCTCTGTGAGGAAGGGCGATGTCCAGAGAGCCGCAGGATTCCACGGGGATCCTAGTTTTGCCTGGTTTGGGACTTAGATCAGCAAAGTGAGAGCGAAGAGGGGCATTTCACTTGACCTTGAAGGCATGAGGTGGGCCTGTGTGTGCGGAGCCTTTCTGACTGGAAGAGCAAGCCTGTGAGCTGAGGAGAAGCAAGGTCGACTCGTCAGCCGGGATCTAGGATGTGAATTAAGGCAATACCAGTTCCTTTAACAGTCACACCTAAAATCTCTGTGTCTTAAGACAACTGAAGCTCATGGCTTGCTTATGTGAAGCCCAAACAGGTGTTCCTAGGGGTGCATCTTTCTTTCAAGCAGTGACGTAGGGGTGTAGGCTCCTTGGATCTGTGGCCGTGCTGTCTCCAGCATGTGGCTTCTGCATCCCAGCACAGAGAGCATGGATGCTGTATGGGGCAGGGCTTCATGGACCAGGCCTAGAAGTGGTGTACATGGTTTCTGCCCATAGTCAATGGCCGTCCTGCTGCAAGGGAGGTGGGCAGTGTCACTGGTGTGTGCCAGGGCGAAAGAGAACACAGGTGGGGTGCGGGGTGCACAGCTAGCCAGTCCCTAGCACCAGAGGTGGGGCCTTGGGTTCAGCAGGCAGGGGCCACAGTAGGATATTTATTGACATAGTCAGCATGCAACACTGAGGCCGGGCTGTGTGTTGGATGCTGCCTTATGCACCAAATAGGCTTCCGAGCAGAGGAGCAATGTGTTGAAAGCAGCGTTTTGAGCAATTAGTCTGGGGGCCGAGCAAGGGAAGACAGACGCTTAGTGAGGGAGGACGGTGAGGAAGCCGGTGTCTTTCCCCAGCTGGGAGCCAGTGAGGCTGTTGCACATAGAACAATATCAGTATCATCAGTAACAATAATAGTTCCTATGTGCCATGCAGTGTTAGATGCATCTTTACGTGAACTTAGTCATCACTCAAACTTATGGTGTAAGTGCTGTTACCATTTCCTTTTGTAGATGGGAAGGCAGGGCTTTAAATGGTTAAATCATTTGCCCACATTCGCATCAATCTTGGCCGGGCCTGAGGATCTGCACTTAGTAAGTCAGTGTTATTTTATAACCACTGTAGAAGTAATAAGGTGGAAATAAGTCTAATGGAAACATAATGAGTTTAAGTGAACAGTAACGAAAATCCTGTTCTTGTCAAGAGGGGTACTCGACTTATTAGAGGACCTCAGTAAACCGGAGAAACTGAGGAAGTGAAATGGGAGACATGGCCTGTTAAGGGCTGCCGCTGGGCTTTGGCACACCTGATGGATTTAAGTCAGTTTCAGTGGGAGTACCTGGTAAGTGCTAGGCTGCTTGTGAACGTGGCATCTTGTTAACTATTAGCCCTCAGAAACAGATCTTGTGTTACCTTTAATTCCTTAGTCTGATAAATATGCCAGAACACTCATTTCCCTGTTTGATGTCTTTGTCATGGCCATCATATGTATAATCTCAGATAATAAACGTAAAATGATATTTGTCTGATATTTCTGGAAATATTAGTAAATACCAGAAACTTGGTTGTTGACATAAAGTTCTGTTTTTGGCAGTTGACTGTTGGGATGGCCCAGATGGAGAGCCAGTCGTACATCACGGTTACACCCTGACCTCCAAGATCCTCTTCAGAGACGTCGTGGAGACCATCAACAAGCATGCCTTCGTGAAGAATGAGTGAGTAGAGCAGCCCTGGAGCCGAGGGGACTGATGCTCATGCGTGGCCTGGTGTCGTGTGGGGGCAGAACCACTTGCTCCTCCCTGCAGCCCTTGTCTTCCTTCCTCCTGCCCCAGGCGTCGCCTTCCTCCCCAACAACAAGCTGTGAGTGAGTAACATGGGCTCTGTGTGCATTTTCTTGTGCTCCCTGGATTCCTTGTCCTATTTGCTCCCAAGACGTTGCCTCCTCAAAGCACGGTCTTGCAAGAGTGACCTCAGGCTGTGTAAACCCAGGTGTACTGAGTGTCTAGAGTCTGGAAACATGGGTTACTGTTCGTAGTGAATCATTTATTGATGGTACATTACTGTCCAGTGAGGTGACAATAGCTGGGTTTCCAGGCTTGCTGGGTGCCCCCTAGATATGGAAGCATCCTTGTTACCTGACCCTCCTTGGCATTTGATAATGTTACTGTCTTTCCCTCAGTTTCTCCCTTTTCTCGTTTTCATTTCTCCCCTCTATTGCTGTCACTGCTTCTTGCTCTCTGTTGGCCTGTGACCTCCTATTCTATTTCCTTTCTCTTTCAATTGTCACTGTTTCCTAAGTTGTTGTCTGTGGTCTACTTTTTGGTTATTTGCCTAATCATATGTCCAGAACGTTTTCCCTAGGTTTCAGAGCTATATAGAAATATTCCTATCGAAAATTTGTCTGAGTGTCCCATAGGTACCTCAAGATCAACAAATGTCATCATTTATTCCGATATTTAACAGTATCTACTCTAAGCGAGGCCTCTGTCACGGGTACAGGGAGCCACAAGCCTGCTTTCTGGGCTTTTATCCAAACGACTCACCTCCTCTTTCTGCCAAAGCCCCTCTGGCTCGAGTCCTTTAGTCGGGGGCAGTGCTGTCCACTGGAGGCTTCAGCCAGAAACTGGGAGCTACTCTCCTTCAGCCAGTTCTTGTCAGACCTACTGCTAAATCATCTCTTGACTCCATTGCCTCTCTTCATTCTCACTTCTCCACTGGGTCATCCTGCACACTGGTGCCATGGTTTTCCTTCTGAAAATATAAGCGTGATGTTGTGATTTTTGCCTGAGGGTCCTTCACGAGCTCCCTGTAGTACAGTTACATCTTCTGTGCCCCTGAAGGCCTGGCCCTCCTCCTCTCCAGCATCTTCTTCCTCCTGCTCCACAGAGGCTCAGGCTCCTGCCTTCATCCACTGTCTTTGGATTCCTGGTGGTTCCAGTTCTTTCACAGCTCCTACCTCATGTATGCTGTTCCCTCTGCCTGGAACACCTGTCCGCCTTGTCCCACCTGCCCAATCTGTGCCCATCTTCAAGAGTGCTTGTAGGCAGACTTACGGACACCACTAGCCGATGTGAAAGCTTCTTTTTTCTGTTCTTAGCACCCTGAGCATATCCCATAGCATCTTCTTATACTTGTTGGTTTCTTGCCTTCTTTTCAATCTTTAAGACCATGGACTCATTGCAAATAGGGGGCAGTGTCTTATTCGTTCTTCATCGCTTGGCAGGTACCTGCAAGATACCAGACATTCAAGAAATGGTTTTTGAATTTAAATTACAATTGCATAAAATTAACTTTATAGAACTTAGTAGTCTTTAAGATTATTAACATTTGGTCTTCTCATTAACTAACTGTGAGGTTAAAACGCTGTTCTGGTGTGAGATGCTTGCTGCTTAGCAGGCTGAGTTCATGGGTCTTCTGCGTGGAAGGATCTGAGGGTGGGTTCTGACCTTTACACCCCGATTGCTCCTGGTCTCAGCCAAGTTGATGAAGTGATTCTGCCATTTTTTCCCAGTGTATGAAGTAGAGCTTGGAGAATTCCTGCCATCTGTGTGCTCGGAGGACCCTCTGGTGACTTGACAGAGCTTGCTTTAAGTTTGGGAGTCCTTAGGAGAGAAGTTCTTCAAATTAAAACAGGCAATAAGTTTGATTAGTGCATTTTAAAAGTTCAGTCTTTCTCTTTTCTTTCTGCAACGTTAGTTGTATCTTTGCACCAGGTTTCCCTGTTGCACTGTTGACATTTGGTCCAGCTGACTCTGTTGTGAGCTGTCTTGTGCGATGCAGGATGGTTAGAGCATTCTTGACTTCCACCTGCTAAATGCCAGCATCACCTCCCATGCTGTGACCTCCAGACAGTGTCCCTTGGGGGTGCGGACAGCCACCCTTCCCCTGGGAGAAGCACCGCTTCCCACGGCGAAGCATCATCAGACATAATAAGCTCTTCATGAGCGGGTGGGCAGCTTAAACATTCGTCCCTGGGACCCCCTGATGTGGCTGCACAGACGACCACGGTGGCTGGTTTGTGGTTTCCTCTCTTTCTAACTCTTTGGGGTAGACCCAGAGAGGACACGAGAGCAGACAGACGCGGTCAGGTCATTAAACCTGCTCCATCTCCATGTCACCTCTGCGCTAGGTTGTACGAATGGGGACGGAGTGTGACTGTGTCATACAGCTTGCTGTCACATGGTCCTAGAAGTAAAGTTTCCCTCCACATGGATATATAGGCAACTTAAGCATTGGCTTATAACTCTGGAAAAAATAGATTGCCTGTTACTTTGGAAGATATGTGATGGAAAACTAGGAAAAACAATTAACCTGGATTTGAAATCATTTCTTATTCTGAGGAAACAGCCAAGTCAGAACAAGTCCTGGTTCCCCTTTGTCTCGGCCCCATGTCCTCGGCTGTCTGATCGCTTTGCCAGCCTGTGTTCTCTGCACAGAAACTGAGCTGGCACAGAGCTTGACTTTTTCTTTTCTTTCCTAAAGCAAAGACTAGCATCTAATTCTACACAGATGATTTTGAAATGCTGGACACAGGTTGCTATAAAAACAAAATTCCATTATGTTACTTTATCCTCAATAGTAATTTTCAAGCTAGGGGCTGGTGATGTATTTTTAGAGTAAATATCTGCATTTAGTAATATTAAGTGGTCTCTTAGATGTCCAGACTTTTGAATAAATAAGACAAAATTACATTATTTTAGTGTTACATATTTAGGCTTCTTATCTCTTAAAACTTTCTCTTCTTTTTCTTCCTTTAAAAGAGACAACGTGTGTACCGTTTTTCTTTTGTGGTGCAAAATATTCGACAAAGTCACCCCATGTGGATTGGCATTGTGCCTGGCAAAGTGTATTTGCTCAGGGAGGTTTTAATGCATCTCTCATCGTTCTTGTTTTGGAGCATTTTGGTCGTCACCGGTCTCAGGTGCTGTCATAGGGCTGTCAGACCCCATGCGTGCAGGGCGACCTGACCCCAGGTGGTCTGTGCTCAGTGCTGTGGGCTGTGTTGCTCTTCCCTGTGTTGCCCTCAGGTTCCCAGTCATCCTGTCCATTGAGAACCACTGCAGCGTCCAGCAGCAGAGGAAGATTGCCCAGTACCTGAAAGCCATATTCCGGGACAAGCTGGACCTATCGTCTGTGGACACAGGGGACAGCAAGCAGCTTCCGAGCCCTCAGAGCCTGAGAGGAAAGATCCTGGTGAAGGTACTGCCTGCGGGATGCGGCCGCCTCCTGCCCCGTGCGGCTGAGACCCAGTCCATCAGAATGATAATTGTGGCAGAGGGGAAGGGTTGTAGGTTTGTGATGTGCCTTGTTCCCACTCCTTTACAGGCCTCTTCAGAGGAGGCTTGTCACTGACCGACCCCATATTCGGGTTTGTGTTTATGAGGTGAGGACATGTTTAATGTCTTAGTCTGTGCTGGTTCACGCTGGAGAGAAGTGTGCGAACAGGAGTGGGGGGATGGTAGGGGCGGAGGCTGCTGAGTCCATATCTGAAAGCATTTCTTTCAGATTCTTCTCTCCCATTTCAAGCTCCAATAACTGTCTGTCAGAAAGGAGTCTTCACGGTTGATCAGCCTTGGTTGTGTAAGTGGAGGGGCTCGGCTCAGAGGGCAGGCGCAGACGCAGGCCCCACAGGCCCTGTGTGTGTGTGCGAGGGAGTGTGGTGAGCAGGCCACATTTCACAGATTTTCTGGGGGAGGAATTTACTGCCCATGATGAATGTTATTAATGCGAGGAAGACAGTTCCTTGAGATTTCAGATCGCTGACTGTGATTTTACTTAATTCCAGCTAATTTTGTGTGTTTGGAGTAAAACCATCCTGAATATTGTATTGTTTTGAGACTGAAAACCTAAGGAAGAGCAGTAGGGTATTAATATTCAAACTGGGTTATATTTTACCTAGAAGGGCTGTGTACAAACACCAGCGTTCACATAGGAGGCGTGGGGACATCAAGGCATAGTGAATTTCACAGCCATACTTTGGGGGGCGGCAGATGGGAAAGAGGTGAAGGTTTGGTCTTTGGAATTGGCCAAACCTGTTCTTCTGTCAGTTAAATGAGAATTTTAGACTGAATCCATCAAGGAGGTGCTGCTGGCATTTGTATACGTGAAGCATTTTGGATGAAAGCTCTGAAGAATGCAAGAGATGACATTAAGGTCAATCTTCTTGAAATCTTGCTAAAGCAAACTCTTGTGGTGAAAACAGGTTGCTGGGCTAGAACGTTAAATGTCACCTTACAGCCTTGCAATGTTTCCATGTTTCCTGAATGTCTTTAGCCAGCAGTCAGAGGTTAAATGCAGAGTAAGTTGATTCAATTGAAATTCTCCCATTTTGGACGGTGGAACTTAAGGTAGACATTTGATATGAACTAACCGAGTCCCTTCTGCGTAACTGAGCTGTGGGTCACCTGACACAGAATGCCCCAGGGCTGACGGGCACCAGGGTAAATCGGAGCCAGAAGATCAGAGGGGCTTGCTGGATGGAGTGAAGCAGTGTGGACTGCGAGGATTTCAAGGCAGCTGAGGTCCGTTTGTCAGTACAGTCGGCCCTCTGTATCCACGTCTGCTTCCTCTGATTAAACCAATTGAGGATCATGTACTGTGTGTACAATTCGCAGTTGGTTAAATCTGTGCTTGCGGAACCCGCAGATAGGGAGCGCCGACTAAGGGACCTGAGTATCTGCAGGTTTTGTATCCGCAGGGGAATCCTGGAACCAATTCCCCCGCAGATACCAGGGGACGACTGTAGTATCATTCTTCAGACGTCAAGATTTCCTAGATCTGTGGACGGGCACACTCTCATTTAAAACAAAAACAAGGGAGCTGATTTTCCTGTTTCTTTAGCATCAGAGCTGTCTCTGATCTGAAAGGCAGTGTTTGAATGGCTGCTTACCACTTTGGAGATTGGCAAGTGGTTTGTTGTAACTGCAACACACACACACTTTCTAACCATATGTGTGTATACACGTTTATACACATACACACACATATATCCCCTGAAAAGTATTCAAAAAGTGTTCAAAAATTGCTCTTGGACAAAAATAATAACAAGCTTAGTAATCTTCTGTAGACTTTTACTGCTGAAAGAAACCTAAACTATCTGGTCGAGATTCCTGTGTTTGCAGCTGTGAGTCACAGAGTAGTGACCGCCCTCCTGGGCCGTGCAGCTTGATGTTTCCATATGCCATGGGTGAATTAATCTAATTCTTGAGTGTGACTCCTGCATGGACTAGTATGCAGGTCAGGAAGGGACCGCAAGAAGACCCCGGTCATTCTTCGTTTACATCTTCTTTCCTTAGGAGTAACATTCTTGAAAAGAAGCATTGAAAAACAATGTTCTCTCATGTTGCTTTTCTTCCTGTTTGCCTGGATAAAGTATCTTTTGAGAACTAGGAATGTAGACAAAGTTAGCAGAAAATATGGCCCTCGTGTCTTTTAAAGGCACATCTCATTTTATTGTGCATTGCAGACATCGATTTTTTACAAACTGAAGGTTTGTGGCTACCCCGCATCGAGCAAGTCTATCAGCGCCATTTTTCCAACAGCATTTGCTCACTTCATGTCTCTGTGTCACATTTTGTAATTCTCAAAATATTTCAGACTGTTTCATTGTTATTATATTTGTTATGTTGATCTGTGATCAGTGATCTTTGATCTTACTGTCGTAATTGTTTTGGGGCTCCACTAACTGCATCCATTTAAGACAGTGAACTTAATCGACAAATGTTGTGTGTGTTCTGACTGCTCTACCACCCGGCTGTCCCTTGGTCTGTCTCTCTCTCCTGGGCCACCCTATTCCTTGAGACACAACAATATTGAAATTAGGCCAGTTAATAACCCTACACTGATCCTAAGTGTTCAAATGAATGGAAGAGTTGCACGTCTCTCACTTTAAATCAAAGGTTAGAAATGATTTAGCTTAGTGAAGAAGACATGTCAGAAGCCAACATAGACTGAAAGCTAAGCCTTTTGTGCCGAACAGTTAGCCAAGCTGAGGATGCAAAGGAAACGTTCTTGAAGGAAATTAAAAGTGCTGCTCCAGTGAACACACAAATGATAAGAAAGTGAAACAGCCTTGTTGCTGATATGGAGAAAGTGTCAGTGGTCTGGGTAGAAGACCAAACCAGCCACAACATTCCCTTAAGCCAAAGCCTAATCCAGAGCAAGGCCATAGCTCTTTTCAATTCTATGAAGGCTGAAAGAGCTGAGGAAGCTGCAGAAGAAAAGTCTGAAACTAGCAGAGTTTGGTTCACAAGGTTTAGGGAAAGAAGCCATCTCCGTAACATAACAATGCAAGGTGAAGCAGCAGGCGCTGATGTAGAAGCTGCAGCAATTTATCCAGAAGATCTAACAATGATCATTAATGAAGGTGGCTACACTAAACAAAGCATTTTCAATGTACATGAAACAGCCTTCTGTTGGAAGAAGATGCCATCTAGGACTTTCATAGCTAGAGAGAAGTCAGTGCCTGGCTTCAAAGCTTCAAAGGCTGACTCTCTTGTCAGGGGCTAAAGCAACCGGTCACTTTAAGTTGAAGCCAGTGCTCATTTACCATTCTGAAAGTTCTAGGGCCCTTAAGGATGATGCCAAATCTACTGTGCCTATGCTCCATAAATGGAACAACAAAGCCTGGATGACAGCACATCTGTTTACAACATGGTTTACCAAATATTTTGAGCCCACTATTGAGACCTACTGCTCAGAAAAAGAATCCTTTCAAAATATTACTGCTCATGGCAGTGTACCTGGTCACTCAAGAGTTCTGATGGAGATGTACGAGATTAATGTTCTTTTCATACCTGCTAACAGCATTCATTCTGCAGGCCATGGATCAAGGAGTAATTTTGACTTTCAAATCTTATCATTTAAGAAATATATTTCGTAAGTTTATAGCTGCCATAGATAGTGATTCCTTTGATGGATCTGGGCAAAGTCAGTTGAAAAACTTCTAAAAAGGATTCACCATTCTAGATGCCATTAAGAACATTTGAGATTTGTGGGAAGAGGTCAAAATATCAACATTAACAGGAGTTTGGAAGAAGTTGATTCCAACACTCACGGATGACTTTGAGGGGTTCAAGACTTCAGTGGAGGAAGTAACTGCAGATGTGATGGAAACAGCAAAAGAACTAGAATTAGAAATGGAGCCTGAAGATGTGACTGAATTGCTGCAGTCTCATGATAAAACTTGAATGGATGAAGAGTTGCTTCCTATGGGTGAGCAAAGAGAGGTTTCTTGAGATGGAATCTATTCCTGGTGAAGATGCTGTGAAGATAGTTGAAATGATAACACAGGACTTAGAATATGACATAAACTTTGATAAAGCAGCAGCAGGGTTTGAGAGCACTGACTTCAATTTTGAAAGAAGTTCTGCTGTGGGTAAAATGCTATCAAATAGCATCATGTGCTACAGAGTAATCGTTCATGAAAGGAAGAGTCAATCAATACAGCAAACTTCATTGTTGTCTTATTTTAAGAAATTGCCACAGTCACTCCAGCCTTCAGCGATCATCCTACCCTGATCAATCAACAAGACCCTCCACCAGCAAGAAGATTACAACTCACTGAGGGCTCAGATGATGGTTAGCATTTTTTAGCATAAAGTATTTTTAAATTAAGGTATGTGCATTGTTTTTTAGACATAATGCTATTGCACACTTAATAGACTATAGCATAAAGATAACTTTTATACACACTGGGAAACCAAAAAATTCGTGTGACTTGCTTTATTGCAATATTCACTTTATTGTGGTGGTCTGGTACCTCAGTATCTCCGAGGTGTGCCTGTGACTAGACGTTGAAAGGGCTGAAATCGAGGGCACCTTGTGGGTGCTCTGAGGGGGCAGCTCTCTCTGCTCCCTCAGGCTCACCACACTTCAGTGAAGCTGTGTTTAAGCTTAGCGTCCTGCCCTCACCTGCTCATCAGCTTGGGCTTTCTGTTCCGTCCTTTGGTATCAGAGCCAAATGCACCACTTGAGGATTGCTGTTCCCTGCTTGCTGATGTTATTTCTCATGCTTGTTAGCTCTGTTCTGCTGAACATTTGAAAAATCTATTGGCTTGGATGCTATTTCAAAAGAGGGACCTGCTATCACTACATTTAAAATGTCTTGTGTGTAGATCTGTCTTGGCGCCTGCCAACTCTGAGTAAATAGTTGGTGGTGAACAAATAAAAGGAGTTTTATATCTCGACGTCCATAGTTCCTGAATCTCTCTGGTTACCACTCAGCTGCCTGCCTTATTTCTGGTGCTGCTGTATTATCATAGCTACTCTACCATTGTCCCCCAAAATAAAGAAAAATAAATTCGTTTTTTAGGAGCCTTCTGTATCAATAAGACCTGTGATAGTATACAGACATAAATACCTTAATTCTGAGCTACCTTGTTATTAATGATACACAGGAGGAAATGAAGAAACGTTTCACTATATTTATTTAGAATCATCTATATGTATAAATCTATACATCTATCTTTATGTATTCTTGTAGAAAAGAAAGAAAAGAATGTTGTTTTCCCTTTGTAGATAGCTCACACAAATAAGGAATATAATAGTACATTATCAGTATGAAGGCAAGTTCAATCCCACTTTTTTACTCCTATAAATGTCCCTCTGTAAATTAAAGAAAATGTTCAAGTATCCAAACTCCAAGAGTCTGGATTCTTAACATATATGTTGTTTTCGTTACATAAGTGATTGAATAACTTTGAAATCGTCACTGTGCTGAGGACCTAATAAAGTCAGGAGCTTTGGGTCTCAGGACAGGTCAGGGAAACTGGGAAGGAGACTCCTCTGAAGACCTGACTCGTAGTGGTCCTGAAGAGGGAGGAAGACCCAGAGCACTGGGGACAGCGGTGCTGTGCGGGGCAGAAGCAGCTGAAATCGCTGGGGCTCGGTGGAGAGAAGACCAGTCCAGATGGTGGTCTGGGATGATATTTAGAATATCATCAGTTTGGCTGCCGTGCATATGGATGTCCTTCCTTGTCTGAGGAATCCCCTCAGAGGATCCCAGAATGCTGGACGTCTGCTTCTGCAGCCTCCCCTAGAGCTGGCCTGTGGGCACGTGGTCCAGGTGCCAGCTGTCAAGTGAACCTGCCCCACATCAGATGTGCAGGCAAGAGACTGGGGAGGTGGGCCAAGTGGAAGCTGTCTCAGCGAGGGCACACAGCCGTGGCAGCTGTGCTCAGGGCCAAGGGCAGACTTTCTGGCAGCACTGCCTGGTGTTTGTCGTGTGTAGTGGAGTCAAAGGCTGTGAGTGTGTGCTTAGTCGTGCTGAAGTGGTAACTCTGGTGTGTTAGTTCTGCCCCATGATTTTGATTGGCGATCGTATTAATTATCTATAAATGCACAACCCATTACCCCCAAAATTAGCATCTTGAGACACAAGCATATATTCTCCCTTAGTGTCTGTAGGTCGGGAATCTGGGAGTGGCTTAGCTGGGGCCTCTGCTACAGTCTCTGATGAGACTGCAGCCAAGGTGTCAGCAGTGCTACCATTGTCTCCAGGCTCACCAGGGACAGGAGCCACCTCCACTTTAGTGGCTGTTGGCCCATTTCCACTCCTTACAGGCTCTTGGCTAGAGACCTCTCAAGTCCTTGCACTGTGGGCCTCTCCTTGGCACAGCTCACAATATCAGAGCGAGAGCAAGAGCAAGAGCCAGAGCCAGAGCCAGAGCCAGAGAGAGACACACGGAGAGAGATCTGAGGAGGAGGCATGTAGGAGGGAAGAGGTTGCAGAAGGGCATCAATACCAAGAGGTAGGAACCACTGGTAGTATTTTAGAGGCTTCTTGCCACAACGACTTGGCCACTTAGCCTCAGAGCCTGGTTCTACCTGCTTTCTCGAGGAGATCCTGGGGCCACTCAGTTTCCTGGTAATAGTCCTTGCTGCTTGAGGTCACCTCCCTTTGTGATACAGACAGTTAGCTGCCCCAGAGCCCTCATCAGAGATACTACCCTGTGGCGCTGTTACCCAGAGATACTAATACTGTCACAGTATTACCCAGAGATACCAAAACTTGGCACACTGTTACCCAGAGATACTAACACTGTGACAGTATTACCCAGAGATACTAACATCCTCACATTATTACCCAGAGATTCTAACTCTCATCACACTGTTACCTATAGATACTAACACTCATCACATTGTTACCCAGAGATACTAACATCCATCAGACTGTTACCCACAGATACTGACATCCATAACACTGTTACCCACAGATACTAACGCCTGTCACGCTGTTACCCACAGATACTAACACCCATCACACTGTTACTTGGAGATACTAACGCCCGTCTCACTGGTGCCTGGAGATACTAAAACTTGTCACATTGTTACCTAGAGATACTTAGCGTTAATAATCGACCATATTTCTTGCCAGAGTTTTCTCTGAGTTTTCACACATCATTGAGATCATAGTGTCTTCTGTAACTTGAGTTTCTTACCATTTTCATACAAGAATTCCCCCTTCTTCTCAAAAGGCCCGATTCCTACAGTGGGTTGGTGAGCAGTTGTGGGGGCATGTGCCAGCTGGCAGGGCTCATTGCGTTGTCTGTGAACAGGGAGCTGGCCGGTGCAGGGGGACATGGCCCATCCATGGAAAGGGCACATTTGCCCTGTGTAGGAGGACAAGCCACTCTTGAGGGCCTGGGTGGTGTGATCCTTGCGATGAGTCACATATTCTTGAAAAGAAGCCAGGTCTGACTTTTATTTGTAAATATAGCATCTATTTAATTGAAAATAATAAAACTGCCATTTTTGAAAGTCTCTTCTCCCCTTGTTTTACCCCTGATACGAACTATCTACTTTCTGGTCAGTGTGAAGTAATGGTTGGCCGAGGGATAACACATTCTATTTTTTTCACTTTTTAAAAGTTTCAACTGTGGTAAGATACATGTAGCGTTAAGTTTGCCTACCATCTTAACCAGTTTTAAGTGCACAGCTCAGCTGTGTTAAGTCTGTTCACATTGCCGTGTGACCTCCAGAAGTCCTCTCATCTTGCAGAACTGAAACTCCACACTGAATGAACCCCTCCCACCTCCCTCCCCACAGCTGCTGGTATCCACCATTCTATTTTCTGTCTCTATGAATTGGACACTAGGTGTCTCATATAAGTGGAAGCAGACAATATTTGTCTTTTTGTGATGGGGTTATTTTGCTTGGCCCAGTGACCTTAAGGTTCATCCACATTGTAACATGTGTCAGAATTTCCTTCATTCTTATGGCTGAATAATTTTCCATCGTGTGCATGTGCTACATTTTGTTTATCCACTCATCTGCTGGTGGACGCTTGGCTTACTCCACCTTTTGGCTATTGTGAAATTATTTTCATTTTTAATTGAGTGTTTTGTTGTGTTTCAGGGCAAGAAGTTGCCTTATCACCTTGGAGATGATGCAGAGGAAGGGGACGTTTCTGACGAGGACAGTGCAGATGAAATTGAAGACGAGTGCAAGTTCAGGCTTCACTGTGTAAGTCACAGGCGTGGTGTGACTTCCACCCTCTCTGTGCAGCTGTAAACGTTGCTGCTGGGTTGGCATACTGCAAATGAGATAGCTGTCATTGTGAAAAGGATATTTATTGAAAACTACTTAGTGTGCTGGTGCACAGACACTCAAGTGTTTATTGAGTGAATGAGTCAAGGATCCATGTGTCTTAGATTTGGAAGGGAAGTTGTGGTTAACTATTCTACCCTCTCTCCAGGGACAAATCCTCTCCTCTCTCAACTTGGGCAAAACTCAGATTGTGGCCGGAAGTGTCGCTGTCTTTGATGACGTAAACCGGCGTCAGCTTGTCTCCTGCAGCAGCCCCACCACACGGCCTGTCACCAGCGGAACCCACCGTGCTGGGTCTACTTCTCCAGGATGCCCGCCCTCCCTGAGGAAACGTGCCTGGGGCTGGAGGGTTTCCAGGCTCTTCCAGACCTGGGACTCTTGGCTAAATCTTTAATTTGCCACTTAAGTAAAATGGTGTAGAATGGTTTGTTATCTGCGTGGTGCTTCAGACTCCTGTTCTGGATCAAGGGGCCGCCTTGTAGAAAGCACACATAGCTAGGTGTCCAGGGGATGCAGACCTTGGGGGGATGAAGGTGTGAGGAGACCCCCTCCTTCCAAGGGGCCAGGATTTCCTGGCCCCCCAGGTGGTGCCAGGATCAAATGACACCTGAGAACAGCACCCGCTCATGCTGGTTTGTTGGAGGATTTACCGTTTCATTCCTGCAGAAAAGTGGTTTTCCTCCAGATATCAGGACTATTTTCTGCCTTCTGGAAAACAGAAATTTTGTACAAAATCTTCGAGTGTGCACCGTTGCCCTGAATTCAGTTATTACATTGTTAAAAAGAGCCCTCTCTTCCAGATCATGGTAACTTGGTGCCCTCCTGGGGGGCCAGTGGGAGCTGCCGTCATTTCCAGGGCGCACAGCTCAGCAATGGCTCAGGTCTCGTGGACCCCGCTGTCCTGGCTTTGCTGCACTTTAGGAGGATGGAGTGGAGAAGGTTCAGTTTGGAGGGAAAAGGAAGCATTGCCGCCTGCATCCGTCTCCTGCCTTTTAGTACTTTATATTTAGTTAAAGACCTCCAGCAGGGCTGTGGTCACAGCAAATTACTATACATAGATTTACATAAGTGAAAATATGGTTAATGTTTTACATAATTTCTTTTCTGCTCTTCTAGATATTTGCTATTATTGTAATTAATTATTTGTGATTATGGGTAATTTAGGTCAATTTTTACCTTTACTTTATAAACCAAATTTTTGCCTCTGATTTCCATTATCTTTGCATCTTGTTTCACGAATCTCTTGGCCTCAGAGTAGTCTGTCATTGGAGAGCAGGGCACAGAGGTCCGACTGAGTTGTGTGTTCAGGGAATGCTGTTTGTAGTGAAAATGGGAGGTGGAGGTTTAACTGCTATCACAGTGCAGCCCTTTATTTCTCTGAGTAGAATCTAGGTCGTTCTGGTTTCTAGACCCACCCACGTATGTAACTGTTCTTCTCCTGTCAGTGAGCCTTCTAACTTTCCAGGTTAGACATCTGTGGTTATGATGGAGAGCTAGCTGTAGTTTTATGGAGACAAACCAGTAACTTCACTTGTGAAAACACGCTCCTGGGTTCCTCTGTCTCCACAGTCTGTTTGTTGGTGTCCAGGAGCCCACACAGGCGGCTGTTAGAACATGATCCGCAGAGGTGGCCCTCACCTCACTAGGCTCCTGGTGTGGGCCCAAGTGAGAGCAGAGAGCGCTTTAATTGTAAAGTTGTCCAGGTGGCTCTTGTTGACTTTAGGAGAGAAAATGATAGAGAACAAGCCTTCCAGTGGAAGTGCATAAAGTTTTCACTCCACTTTTTCCAATCTTTCTTCTCTGTTTTTGAGCTCTTCTGAGAAAAGGTGATTCTGTATTTAGAAAGCCGAAGTGTCACCCTGTCCTCTTGTCAGCGGACGCTTTGTCTGAGTGTTGATATGAACTGTCTGACCTAAACTGAAAGCCTGATCATGTTTCTGCAACAGAGGACACACTGCATGTAGCTCATGTGAGGCAACAATTATCGCAGAGGAGGTTCTCAGCCTCAGTTCAAAGTTAACAGGGTTTTATAGGAGCAATAGCTCTCGGGAGGTTTATACAAGACCCGTTGCACATTCAGCACATTTTTGTTGAGCGTCTCCTGCTGGAGATCATGGCCGTGATGTTGCAGGTGTTGGTTTTATACTCGTGAACAAAACAGACAAAATTCTCTGCCTTCATGGAGTTTATACGTTAGTGGGAGAAGAGGAGGATCGACAAGAAACAAACAGATGAGTACTGGGTGTGATAATTGCTCAGGGGAAAAAGGGAGGGAGGAGTATAGACAGGGTGTGTGCACGTGTGTGTGCAAAGAGCTGCAGGAGTCTTAGGTGGGATGGCGGGAAAGGTCGCTCAGGGAGGCAGCAGGTGGGCAAGACTGGAAAGAAGTAAAGAGTTGCCACGTGAATCCAAGAAGGAGGTTCCAGGCAGAGGGAACAGCCCAGGTCAGAAACAGGATGGGCGGCTCCCCGGCCTTGCCTGGCATTGGGAACAGAGTGGGGGCGGGGCCCTCCCAGCTCTGTTCTCTAACGAGGGATTCAGCCACATCGGAGTTTCTGCTCTTGTGATGGATGCTTTCTGTTGTTGGATTAATTGAATCCTTGAAGCTTCTGCCTCATTGTTTTCTGACTGCAGCCGTAGAGGAGACCTGGCTCGTGACGTGTAAGCCACAGGTAAAGGATGTGTTCGGTGGCCGAGAATCTAATCTCAAGGACAGGATGCTGCCCCCTCATCATGCGGTCCGGCCACCCCCAAACAGGCAGAGGCTGCCCACCGCTGCTGGTCTCCGTAGGTCCTCTAGCGTCAGTGCCCACGTGTCAGCCTCCGATGGCTTTCCTCCTGTGCTGAGAGCTCCAGCCACTGTTTCTTGACCCTCTGGGTCTGGGTTTGGCAGCCCCTCGGGCACAAATGCAGCTCCCTCTGCTGCGTGAACCTCGTGCCATGAACACCAAGCCTGCCGGCAAGTTGAGACGAGCCCTGGCACAGGAGCCTGTAACAGCCCCCCTAGACCGCTGTCAGCCCTGTGCATGTCACACTGGTCACCAGGGGTGTCCCCTCCTCCTTCTGCATCAGCTGCAGAGGCTTCTTTCCTAGTGGCTTGTGTGATGGAGCCGTTGTAAGAGGGATTACGGGCTTGTTGGTTTAAGGCTGCCGTGTTCCTGGAAGGGGTGAGCTGCCTGCTGAGGCCCAGGGCTTGCCCCCAAGATTGGCTCAGAGACTAAACGTCTGCGTGCTGGGTGTGCTGGCAGCCGGGTGAGGGGTGCAAGGGCACTGGGAGGGTGGGGCTGTTTCTAGTTCATGATGCAACTTGAGCCTCCGCCCTGCCGGCAAGGAAGGGGACCAATCGGTTGCTGTCAAAGGTCCTGCACGTGTCATGTCTGCGGACGTGTTTCCCTTGCATTTCAAGGCCTTGTCTTCTGGGAGCTGCTGTTGCTGAGGAGCCTGCTGCTCACTCGCTTGTCTCCCTTGCTGGGCTTCTGTCCTTCCTTCCCATTCCAGTCGTTCTGTGATTTCACTGTTAGGTGACTAGGAATGTTGACTTCCTGTCAGAGAGCTCAAGTTTTCTTTTGTTCTGGAAAATTCTCAGCCCTTTTTTCCTTTGAATATGTTTCTGTGCAGTTCCTTTAGTCATCTTTTTCTGGAAGTCCCATGAGATTTGTGTTGGGATCTCTCAGTCTATTGTCTGTCACTTAATTCTTCTTTAATATTCTCTTTATCTCTGTGCTCAGTTCTGGTACCATTTATGTGTTTATTTTTCAGTTCGTTAGTTGCCCCTTTGACTGTGTCTGGTCTAGAGTTTATCGCAGCTGTTCTTTTAATTTCAGTGACGGTACAGAGTTTGTTATTGGCTCTTTTTCATAGACACCGGTTCTTCTTTTATTTTTGGCTTCTTAGTTTCTTGTTCTTTTTATGGGGCTATTTCTTCATATTTTGGGTGTGTGAACACGCTTATTTTACAGTGAAGCAGTGAATCCCTTTCCACATGTTGATGTTTTGGGCTGTGTCAGCATCGGTTGCCTTGTAGGTTAGAGTTTGGGGTTGAAGGCTCAGTTTTGAGTGCAGCAATCTTCCTTCTGTTCTCTCTCAGTATCCACCCTTCTTGTCTAGTGGCTTTGGGCTTGCTTTCACCGAGCCCTGCGCCTCCCCGCAGCCCTCCTGTGCCTCAGGTTCCTACAGACCTTTGTTGGTGGCTTGGGGCCCTCTGGCCCAGGAGGTGCTGAAGATGCCCCCATCCAGCCAGCAAGCAAACCCACAATTCTGTTGTCATCTTACTCCTGCCTCTTTTGATGTTAGATTGTATATTTCCATAGAGTAGTTCTTTTTAAATGTTTCCTGCAATAAGCAGGGACCCGTTCCAGCTTTCTCTAGTACGTTGGTTCCCTGCTGTGAGACCAGCTCTTGTCTCCACAGCACATGGGGCACCTTTAGTATTATTAAACTGTGAGGTATAAGCTCTTGGCCACTCTGCCTGCTGTGAATGTGGAGCTTGGCTGCATTTATGTTGGCAGTGATCTTCTTTATTTTTATTATTATTATGTTTTTGCTGAGGAAGATTAGCCCTGGGCTAACACCTGTGCCAGTCTTCCTCTGTTTTATATGTGGGATGCTCCCACAGCCATGGCTGATGTAGATCCATGCCCGGGATGCGAACTCGCAAACCCAGGCTGCCGAAGTGGAGCATGCCTAACTTAACCACCAGGCCACGGGGCCAGCCCCTTGTTTATTTTGTTTTTGACCAAGACTACAAGTTTTCTCTTTTTATTTCTTCTACCATTGGAGCAGTGAGGACTTCAAAGCGTGTGTGGATACCGCCCTATGTGTGACCCATGTGTGTGCATGGAGGCACATGCCCAGACTCACATTCATCACAGAGTACTTTTTCTTAAAGTAAATAAAGCGTGGTTGCTCTAGTAAGA